TGAAAAAGAGGCGTAGACTTCCAGAGCAGCATTTTCCTCCATCTAATTATAAATAAACTCACTCATGGAGTGAGTGAGTGTGTGCCTGTGTGTGTGTGTGTGTGTACATATATATACAAGTGTCTCCTATCTCCTTTCTCCAAATCATGGTTCCAGGCTTACAAAACGGTTCCATTTCACACCTTGGCAGTGTGTTGAAAAGGAAGGATGGTGTATAAAATGACATGGAGACATTTTTCTTTTAAATATAAATGTTTAAAATCTACCCAGTAATCCTTTCGACCTTTCTATCTCCTTTTCTACCAAGTAGCTTGAGAAGTCTACAGTTCCATATGAGTAACCTCAGCACACTTTTGCACTCACGGTTTCTGGGGTTTCCACCTCTGTTGACACCCTCCCAGTCTCCAGAAACCTTTTCACCATGTCTTCAGTGACCAGCTGAAGGCCAATTCCCGAGAACAACGTCCAATCTCCATTCTATATGGCTTGTCTGTAGCACCTGATGGGGTTGCCTGCAGGGCTCAGAGCTGGGTCTCTGTTTTCATTGGGTTCTTTCATTTCTTATGGTGGTCCTCGGGTTCTGTCCTCAGCTTTTATCACTTGACACACACTTTCCAGTATACTCACTCACTACATACTACCCACATAGTTGACCCACAGCTGGGTTCTGATCCTGCTGTGTCCTGGACTCTAGAGCTGCTCTTCTGTCCACTGACTTGCCATTTCCCAAATGGGTGCTACACAAGTGCCTCATACTCAACCCATCAAGGTGAGCTCCCTTTCTCCTACCCTACTAGTTCATAGCAGGAATTTGTTTCTGTCCCCAAATGTCATGACATCCAAACCCAAACCTCCTGACAACCACTGGACTCCCTCTCAATGATCTCTTTCATCCTCCTCCAGCCTCATTGCCTCTGGTTTGGTTCAAGGTCCCATCAAAACTTGCCACAGTCATCTCTGCAGCCTCTCAGCAGCATTCAGCTCCTACAAAAGGTTCTTCCCCAACCCACCTTGGTGATGACATTGATCACACCTGATTGTAAGATCATCAGCCACCATGTCTGTCTGTCCCAATGCATGACCCAAGCTGCCCACAGGCAGGAGCCACATACCACTCACTGTTAGCCTCCAGAGGACGGGGCGAAGCTAGTCCAATGTTCAGTTACTGAATGGAAGAGCTATGCACAGAGAGCTCACCTGCAGCTCCTGCAAATTATGAACTAGCAGTGGGCGGGGTCCCAGCTAGCTCCTTAGAAGTATGAGGTAAGAATGCCTGAGGCATCCCCACCCGCAGGTCATCCCCTCCTGCAGGAACAACATTCAGGGTGTCTGACAGTTGGGTGTTGTGAAGTCAGTTCAACTGGCTCATCTGACAGGCGAGGCTTCCCTCTCTCCCAGAAGTCAAAGTCAATGAGCTCACTATTGCTTCCTTCTTGGCCATGAGCAATCATTGTCTATTTGATGTTTTTTATTTATTTATTTTTTCATTTTTCTTTTATTATTCATATGTGCATACAAGGCTTGGTTCATTTCTCCCCCCTCCCCCCACCCCCTCCCTTACCACCCACTCCCCCCCTCCCTCTCCCCCCCCCTCAATACCCAGCAGAAACTATTTTGCCCTTATTTCTAATTTTGTTGTAGAGAGGGTATAAGCCATAATAGGAAGGAACAAGGTTTTTTGCTGGTTGAGATAAGGATAGCTATACAGGGAGTTGACTCACATTAATTTCCTGTGTGTGTGTGTGTTACCTTCTAGGTTAATTCTTTTTGATCTCACCTTTTCTCTAGTTCCTGGTCCCCTTTTCCTATTGGCCTCAGTTGGTTTTAAGGTATCTGCTTTAGTTTCTCTGTGTTAAGGGCAACAAATGCTAGCTAATTTTTTAGGTGTCTTACCTATCCTCACCCCTTCCTGTGTGCTCTCGCTTTTATCATGTGATCAAAGTCCAATCCCATTGTTGTGTTTGCCCTTGATCTAATGTCCACATATGAGGGAGAACATACGATTTTTGGTCTTTTGGGCCAGGCTAACCTCACTCAGAATGATGTTCTCCAATTCCATCCATTTACCAGCGAATGATAACATTTCATTCTTCTTCATGGCTGCATAGAATTCCATTTTGATGTTTTTTAAATGTTCCCATTCTAGGGAACCAGGGAGGAAGGATTTTTGTGGAGTCAATGCTGTTCTAGGTGTGTCTGTAGGACAAAGAGGATCACTGACTCATCAAAGGCCAGAGGGAAAGTCAATGGCACATCAGGCCCTCTGTGCCACCTTGCTGCCCTAGTGTCCACAAGCTGATGTTGGCCCTGGGCTGCAGAGAATAAGGAAGCAGCAGCTCGACCTCTCTGTGTCTCGGGGGCATGCAGGGGCATGCAGTCCTCCCTCGGTGAGAGGATGTGAATGACTTCCTGAAGGATGCTCCAGAAGTAAGAAAGGGAAAGTCATACTTTCACCAGAATGCTTAGCAATCTAATCCGGACTCACAATATTTTCTCTGCTTTCTAATAGATAAGGAGTAAGTGGGCCTTTTGAATCTTCTCCCAAAGAGAACAGTTTCTTAGATTAAAATGGCAATAATCACTCTTATACAAGCTGCTTGCAAAGGAGTTAGCATAAAATGAAGAGCAACAGCAAAACCTCAGATGCAGTTGAGAAGCTCACTTGTAATCTGTAATTCACTCCTCTAATCATGGATGTGCGTAAGTAGCCCTTAACTGTCTATCCACCCAGAGCATGGAAAAGAAAATTTCCTTATGAGGTTTTATATGCATATTCTCTAAATATAGAACATATGTGATATGCATGAAATATAACATTATGTAGTATGTACAAAATTATACACACACACATCCTTGTGAATGTTAAAAAAAAATCCCTCTCCACTCCATTAAAATGGCTTGCTTTAGGCCAAACACAACTTAAGGCCTGCCTACCTGCATACCCCTCCTCCCAATGGCTTCCTGGAATTACTCAGAAGAGGTTACCATTCCTACTCTGCAGGCTGCAAATACCTACACACCTTCCCTCCTGACACTGGTGCACAAGAATCCTAGGCCCATGGACGGAGGCGACGCTGGTTTACTTGTGTGTGGAATGGGGCCTGTTTCCCTCAGGACTTTGGATAAAAAGAATCTATCACCTATAGTCCTAAAAATGACAGTTGCAAGGATGATATCCAGAGATGAGAACCCATGTAGGCAATGAACAGAAAGGGACAGAAGGCTGCTGATAATTACCAGCTGCTAATTACTTTTAATATCAAAAAAGTTTTTCAGCATTTTACACTTTTTTTTGGAGGCAATAGGGTTTGAACTCAGAGCCTTGTGCTTGCTAGGCAAGCACTCTTAACACTTGAGCCATGATATAGTCCTGTTTGCTTTAGTTTTAATTTTTCAGATAGGGTCTCATGCTTTTGCAGGAGGCCAGCCTTAAACTGTGATCCTTGTACCTCTGCCTTCCACCTAGCTGGGATAGTAAGAGTGAAGCACTGCACCCAGCTTATTTTTTGAGGTAGGATCTCACTAAATTTTTGCCTGGGCTCACACTGAACCTCTTCTTCCTGATCTCTGCCTCCTGCATTACAGGGTTACAGGTGTGAGCCACCACGCCTGACCTGTATCCACTTTTGATGTGGTTCCTATCTGAGGCATGGGGACTCTTCTGTTGTTAAGTTAAAAGTCTGAAATTATTCTCTAGCTAGCCAACAATGCCCAGTGCTTTTGATCCCCGCTGGGAACCTGGAGTGTACTTGTTGATGTTTGTCACTCTGGGCACATTTTCTTAAAACCAGCTCCTACTTGGGAGAATGGCAAGAATGGGGCACAGCTGCATTCCCTACACTGTTCAGATTTCAGCTTTTGGTTATGGATTGAACACCTCATCAACCTCCAGAAATGCGATCAAGGCAGATGCAGTATGCTACAAAGGGAGCACTGGACAGCACTTCATCAGAGGTTGGGGATGGCAGGACATGGGCAGCCTGTACCCAGGAAAAGTACCTTTCAGCGTCTGGATAAAAGGAAGCCTCCCTTTGATCCAGCAATACCACTCTTGGGGATATACCCAAAAGACTGTTACTCCAGAGGCACCTGCACATCCATGTTTATTGCGGCACTAATCACAATAGCCAAGTTATGGAAACAGCCAAGATGCCCCAGCACTGACGAATGGATTAAGAAAATGTGGTATCTATACACAATGGAATTTTATGCAGCCATGAAGAAGAACGAAATGTTATCATTCGCTGGTAAATGGATAGAATTGGAGAACATCATTCTGAGTGAGGTTAGCCTGGCCCAAAAGACCAAAACTCGTATGTTCTCCCTCATATGTGGGCATTAGATCAAGGGCAAACACAACAAGGGGATTGGACTTTGATCACATGATAAAAGTGAGAGCACACAAGGAAGGGGTGAGGATAGGTAAGACACCTAAAAAACTAGCTAGCATTTGTTGCCCTTAACGCAGAGAAACTAAAGCAGATACCTTAAAGCAACTGAGGCCAATAGGAAAAGGGGAACAGGTACTAGAGAAAAGGTTAGATCAAAAAGAATTAACCTAGAAGGTAACACACATGCACAGGAAATCAATGTAAGTCAATGCCCTGTATAGCTATCCTTATCTCAACCAGCAAAAACCCTTGTTCCTTCCTATTATTGCTTATACTCTCTCTACAACAAAATTAGAAATAAGGGCAAAATAGTTTCTGCTGGGTATTGAGGGGGGGGAGAGGGAGGGGGTGGAGTGGGTGGTAAGGGAGGGGGTGGGGGCAGGGGGGAGAAATGAACCAAGCCTTGTATGCACATATGAATAATAAAAGAAAAATGAAAAAAAAAAAAGGAAGCCTCCCTTCCAAATCATCCCTTTTTTTTCTGACTTTGGTAAGGAAACCACATGACACCTCCTCTAAGATCTGCTAATGACATTCAACTGAGGATTTTCCTTAGTCCATCTTCCCATGATGAAGGTGCAGATATTCCCTTGGCCACCGTGAACTTACCCTTTCCAAAGACTTCAGGAGGTTTTGTCTTTCTTTGAGCTTCTGAATACTGATGACAATTTTGTGTCTTGCACCTTTGGTTACATTCTGTAATTAAACACAAGTTATATTTAATAAATATTTTAAAGACTAAGCTTAGAGCCTCTCTAGGCTATTGAGTTCTTCGTTCCTACATGTTCACAGGCAAGTCAACATCTATTTCTCTCTCTTGTTGGACCATCCTTAACCTCTTCTTAGGATGTATTCTAACTCCATCTGGCTACACTTTTGCCTGTGATCTTTAGGACAGAGAGATACAGAACAGTCAACTTTCCCACCCAGAATGAAACTTCTTCACAGTCTTAAAAGACGGTTTTTTAGGTCAGACACTCCTCTCCTCAGGCTTGAGCACTTCAGTCCCTCCTGGTTGCTCTGAAGGCCCCAACCCCATCAGATATCCATAGCGTTCTCAAATCTTTCCTGCACTTACTCATCTTGAGGTGCTGTGAAGTCCTGTACAGGGCACAGGGAATATCACAAACAAGGATTGCTTTTTTGTTGGTTTGCAGCCCCTTTTTTGTTCCCATAAAGAAAACCAAAATAGAAAATGAGCCCATAATTCATTCTTTACTCCAGGTAGATATTAACATTCACAGAGTTATGGATTTGATTTTCTTAACTGTGCAGCATTGGTGACTTAAGGATTTCTCTAGATACCTGTTGATTATAGATGAGGCAAATTTCCCACCAGAGAGTCTCTAATATGAACTTTTAGGGGACCTCTATTTTTGGTGCAAATATTCCATAGAATACCTCTTAATGAACAAAAGGTTAGAAATGGCAATGACATCTTCTTTACTTAGAAAAATAAAGATTCAAGTGATGAATTAACTTACAAAGATGAAACACTGGGAGAGATTTATGTTTAGACTTCACTTTGGGTTCAAGTGAATTACTCTGAAAAGTTCATGCCAGGCTCTGGCTTTGCCCTCTGTGTCAATGATTTCTTGTTTTTTCTCAAGTTGAACAACTGATGACTTAGATTTTTTTCTCAACCCTGACCTAAACACAAAAAAGCTCCCATCAATCCCTGAGATCTCAAGGAGCGATGGAGATCCAAAAGGCGGTGGGAGAACTGTTAGGAAGTTGAAATTAGTGCCTTTTATTCTCTGAGAATGTGCAGTGACTTCGGGCTTTGTCTAGCTCTCAATACTGGTATTCAGCCAGGCCTGCAGAGGTTAACTGAGGGTATTGAATAAGCAATGGGAAATCAGAGGTCTGTGGGGAGGTATGCGTCCTGACCAGCTATACCCCAAATGGTCCAATCTCCTCTTCCTGCAGGGGAAATGATATTAGCCTGTTCAGACCACCAATTCTTCAAAATGATTGCTCAAAGGAAACTGAGGTCAATTTGAAACATATGAATTGCATTTTAAGAAAGGGAAACAAAGACATCGGTCAGATCTATTGACTGAAGCCCAGCGTGGTAAGAAGCACGCTTGGTTTCAGGGGTTCTGTTGACTGGCCTTTGGCATCCACACTTGGAGAAAGATGCTTAAGAAGGAAGAGGACCTTTATCCTTTTATAGCATGCACAAAGGAGGTGAATCTGAGATCTGGGAAAAATCTCACTCTTAATTATTGTCCTATGCTCTTCAAGATGGTTAGAAGAAATATATTCCGAATGATTTACTCCAATCTCAACTGAGTCCAGCCTGAGTGATTTTGAAAAAGCAGTGTTGCTTGTCTGAAGCATGACTTGGCACTTCTACTGACTAGTCTAGTTAGAAGTTAGCTGATAGGTGACTAGACAGGATGACAGACAATGGATCTGACTCTACCCCAAATAAAACCTCAGTGGGCAGAGGAAAGGGGAGAACCAGGAAAGCCAGAGCAGAGACACTGACTTTTTGGGGTCTTGGTACAATATCACTTCTTCTGGGACACTCTACAGATTCTTCCCTAGCCCCCTGGAACTTTTAGGGCGTACCTGATTCTATGTTCTAACACTCCTTCACCCTCATCACCCTGTGGTTGCCTGTTGTCCTCCATTCCTATTGAACTCTGAAGGTAAGAGCCCAGCCTTAAGGTCCCTAGACCCAGGCAAGCTATGGGGTGGACATAGACATAGGTCCAAACAAGGTCTGTCTGCAACTTGAACTTCAAGTGCCACCCTCTCTGGGAACAGTCCCCTCAAGCACATACCTGAGCCTCCAGCTGGCACTCAGTGAGGGCCATCATTTCCTCATATGTCATCTGGGAGAAAAGCGCGGCGTACTTGTGCAGGCGGAGGCTTTTTAACCAGGCTGGAACATCTGTGGTGCAAGGTGCACAAGAGATGGCAAGGGAAATGAGAGGAACAAGACAAGGTGACAGAAGATGTGGGAAGAGAGAGAGGAAGAGGATGATGGTCAGAGGAAAAAAAAGAAAAAAAACTTAATGTTTAATCTTGGCAGCAAATTGTGGACCCTGAAGTCTCTTGCCATTCCCACTAGTGGACTCCTTCATTCTACTTCTGACCATAGATCACTAACTTGGGGCCTATGGGCTTCGGGGTATACAGGAATTTCCTAGAATTATATCCCAATTTGTGAATATGTGGATAATTTGCTAAGACGAGAGTCATCCATAGCTCCCACAGTATTACCAAAGGGCTTCATGACCAAAAACTGGCAAGGAACCATTGCCGTAGCTGGGCTACTTCACTGTTAATTTGGAAAGAATTGACTTAGAATGTTAAAACTAGATACGATTGAGTCCACACCCTCAGGATATTTTTCTTTGGAGGGTCAATGCAGTTCTCCACATCTGTTTCAGTCACTTCCAGAGAGATAGGAAAATCAGGAAACAGTTGTACGCCACAAATGGAATTACTGTAAGTCCTAGCCTGACCCTTCTCTATCTCCCTAGACCCCAGTGGGGTGAAGAGCATCCTGGACCCCAACACTATCACTTTTGTGGGGTGTCTGCTATTCATTCCATCCTATGGAATGTATCTGGATGTGTAGTTGACTTCTCTCTTGAATGTCAACCAAAAAAGATATGACAACTTAAAAGGTCCAAAGATTGGCTAGACCACAGGACAATGGAAATTCCAAAGTACATCTGAAATAAGCCCAAGTTTGGGATTCTAGAGTTAAGAAAATTAAATATTACACACTGAAAGTCCACAGAATTATAACCTTGCTAATTACAACCAAAACCAAAACATTTGCCCAGAATCTTTTAAGTCAGAGTTTTTGAGCTAATGAGACCTTTGAAAAGTTTCCAGCATCATTTTCCTCTACCCTTGGCTCATTTTGTAGGTAGCAACATTACGTCATTAAGCCAAATCACAGAGCAAGTATGTGGTGAGATGGGGACTCCTGGTCTCCTGAATACCAGGAGACCTCCATTGGATCTTCCCTCCATTGGATCAATTCTCATAAGACATGGACCAAACAGTGCATCAGTGTAGGGCTGAATAAACAGAGAACAAGAAATACTCTGAGGTGCTGAGGCACTGTGTGTCATTCATGTTTCCTGTGAAGTAATATCCATCACTAACCATACTGGTCACAACATTCCATACTATTGATATCTGAGTGTTTTAATTTCAGGCACTGATGAACCTTATATACTGGAAAGTAAGTGGGAAACTTCTAGTTTTTCGATGTTTCTAGTAGATAATTAGGGTTGATGAAAGATGCCTGGTCAACTCTGAAATCAGGCTCTGCCTTGTGGGTGAACCAAACTGAGGGTCATAGAATGTGGATAGGAGTTGATATTTTGAAACTCAAAGACATAGGAGGCAATGATGGGCCTGCCAGGTTATTTCTTGATCTGCAGTAACATGAAGACCAATGAAGGGGTATTTCTGAGAATTAGAATTGAGCATCTAATGGCATTTTAGAAACAGACCTAGTTACCTCAGTCTAGAAATTACTTAATTCTGTGCTTGGAAGTCCTCAATATACTGTGACAAAAGAGAGTCCCTCTGAGATCAGCGTTAACCACACATTGACAAGACTTTCCCAGGCACAACATGCCAACCCCTTACATCCTCCTCAACTCAAACTGCATTGTATCAAGAATCTAGGACATGCCAGCTCAGGAGTGAGTCTGGTACTTTCCTTGCTGTGACATCCTGGAGCTATTTTACCAAACTTCATTCTCTGTTGAAACAATACTAAAGTTTCTACAGAGTGGACAGCCATGATCTTAACTACAGCTCTAGCTTTCAGTCTAAATTACATGTCACCACTTTGTCACCAGGTCTCATGTTTGCCAGTCACATCTTTGAAAAGTCCCAAGCTGCTGCTCAGAAACTACAATGATAATGATTTAGAAATGTCTGGGTAAGCCAATGTCACATTTGAACAAATTCACCACAAAAAGAGTATGGAGCAACCCTACAGACCAATTTTTTTTAATCAAGTGCTCTACTTGGCAAAATCCACGGATGATAAGATAAATAAAATCCTATTGAATCAACTACTGAATTATGTTGAAAACTGGGTGCTTCATAAGCCAAGGTGACAAGAGTTAGGAAGTGTGAGGGCCAAGTTTCAGGTTTGCAAGTTTCAGTTCCACCAGTGCTACTTTTCTATAAAAGTATTTAGACAACTAGAATTCCCCCAGATAGAGGCATAGAAGAGCCTGCCTCATTTAGTTCAAAATGCAGGTTATTGGGGGTTGTTTTCCTGGAAAAGGCTCCTACACAGTTTCACAACAGGATGAGTTAGGCTTTCCTGAACTGTTATTTCTGGTTGCATTCTTGAGAAATGTAAGCTCCTTTGGCCTATGTGCCTCAAGACAGGCCCATGTTGACACTGCTTATAGAGCAAGTGTCCTAGTGCCTAGCTAAGTGCCATGTACCCAAAGAGCTTGCCTTCCTACACTGGAACCAATGAACAAAGAGAAGGAAATCCAGGTTCTTAAGAAGATAGCCTTCGAACCTTTCATCCCCTGGTTGGTAAGGTATCTTCCCCTGCCTGGAATTAAAACAAAACTCCATTAAAAGGAAAACAAACCAGAGAACAGAGAGCCTTGACTGTTTTGTTCTTCTAAGCCAGGAAATACAATGACTCATATGCTAGATTCTGTAAGATGCTGGCCAAGAACAAACTCTACCTCAAAGCTCAGGTCCTTCCCCGTGGTACCACCCAGTTGGATGCAATGCTAAGGACTGTCTAATGAACCTCAGACCTTCCTTCCTCAATCTGTGAAGCTGGGGTGATGATGGAAGACACAAGCAAACAGGATAGGTAGAGCCATTTCCCAGAGAAGCTGATATGTAAATGAAGACACACACATCTCCAGGACTCCCACCTCTGGCTGACATACAGCTGTTTAGCTTCATCTGGCCTGCTCCTGTTGGACATAATGATGGAGGTCCCAAAACTAGAAAGTCATTCTCGTGCAATGTGAGAAAGAAAAAGGTGACTTGGCTATATGCTAGGCTGAATTCCTTCCATGTGTGGGAATACTAATATGTGCTCACTCAACATTTACAGAACGACTTTGGTAGGGATCAGACTCAGTGAAGACATGTCCTTGCCATCAAGGAACTTTTAATCCAGAGAGCATGGCTGACACATACAAAAAATTGTAATAGCTGTAGTACAAGTGCCGAGTATAGTCAAAGTTGTGGGGAGTACAGAACAATGAGCGAATTATTTGGGTCTCCCCTAGGGAGTTAGGGACAGATCCTTGAGATTTGCTGCTTGGAATAACAGCAACTGGGAGTGCCCCAGGCAGAACATACTGAAGAAGCCATCAGAGAAAGCAAGAACAACAAAGGACAGAGCCAAGAGATTAGCCAGGGTAGAACGAATGCTTGGTGGGTGGGGGAGAATGGCTAGAGACAAAGTGGGGCACATAGGCAGGGAGTCAGATGGCCAAGATATGAAATGTGGAAAGGAAAAGAGTAGATCTTACCCTGTGATGAGGAAAAGCTGTGAAATCTGAGCAGTGAAAGCACAATCAGATGAGTGGTGGTTTTCAGTGGAAGGCTAGGCAGGAGATTTGTGAGAGACGGGGCCAGGATCTGAGTTTAAGACCTTGAGGATGGCCTAAGAAGGGTGGCAGAGGAGAAGGAAAAGATGTAAAGTGGTGTGCTAGAAGACCAGGGAAGAGCAAGGATGAGGAAGACAAAGGAGCTGAAGATGGCTCCTTTGGTTCAGGTTTGGTGAGACAGAAAACACAGGGGATAAGCAGATTCAGGGAGAGATGGTGAATTCCATTGTAGATCACTTCCGTGTCATTACCTTTGGGTCAACCATGGGGAGCAAACAGCTGATCAAGAGAGGTCTGATCTGGAGAACTTGCTTTGTCAATAACTCATGGCTGTTGTTTAGTCATGGAAGTAGGTGATGTTTCTCAGGCAAGGAGTAAGACTTAGAGAGAGTTTTTAGGGAAAGGTGTAGGAAAAGAAGGCTAACTGGTAGGTTTCTGGGAGAAAATCCCTCCATCCTTGTATATGACAATGGGCCCCCTGCTGTAGTCTCCATCCTTCATGAAGCTCCTTTCAAGATCATGTTGCAGTCCACATAAGTTTATCTTCTCGTGGCCAGTTCTGATAATAGCATAGCACCCATCTTGCATATATTCTAGCTCTACCTGCTGGTCTTTACCAATGAGACCAAGTTTTAAATTGTGCTCATTTCTTTTTCCTTTTAGAGGGTGGATAACTCAACAGTGGAGAGGATTTGTAGCATGTAACATGACTCACATAGAAGCTAGGCTTCGGTACTAGAGAAAAGGTTAGATCAAAAAGAATTAACCTAGAAGGTAACACCCACGCACAGGAAATCAATGTGAGTCAATGCCCCGTATAGCTATCCTTATCTCAACCAGCAAAAACCCTTGTTCCTTCCTATTATTGCTTATACTCTCTCTACAACAAAATTAGAGATAAGGGCAAAATAGTTTCTGCTGGGTATTGGGCGGGGGGAGAGGGAGGGGCGGAGTGGGTGGTAAGGGGGGGTGTGGCAGGGGGAGAAATGAACCAAGCCTTGTATGCACATATGTATAATAAAAGAAAATTGAAAAAAAAAAAAGAAAGTTTTCCAACAGTTAAACTGATTTTGCATTCTTAAAATAAACCCAACTTTTTTTTTTTTCAAAAAAAAAAAAAAAAAGCTGGGCTTCAATGAGAACTGGGCTGTTTTTCCTAATGCCTCCTGCAGCAATGGCTGCAAATACCAGCCAGATCAACAAGCCATGCGGTACCTGACCACAGCTGAGGAGGGCCTAGGAGAAGGATGGAAGGAAGGAGGGAGGAAGGGGGGATTGAACATGGGAATCAACCCAGAGAGCAGAAAGTAAGGCATTC